TGCCTTAGAGGATGACAGAGCGGTATACAAATAAAGTTTTATATTTTATTTTCATATCACTTTTCTTACCAAAACTCCCAGGATCCCTCAAAAGCCATGTTGGGCGGGGAATTCTGGAAACATTCCTGAAAAATCGACTTCTCACAAGCTCTGGGCCAGCCTGCACCTGTTACCTCCCTGCCGTTCCTCCTTTCCATAAGAAGCATCTGCTTCTTGAGTCCAAATGGGCCAGCGGATCTCAAGTCCTCCAGCGGGGGCTTTGGAGGAGGGAAGGTACAAAGGAAATCAGCGCATTTGAACCTGAAGGGCCTCTTGTAGGGCTGGCAACAGGCAGCAGCTGTTCCCGGGAAAGGCAGTGTGTGGGAGCTGCCAAATCTTGTGATGAATTAATATCAGAAGCCGTCATTCTTTGATGTGGCCCAAAGCATGAATGAGCTGGCATAAGATACTCGTAGCGCACAAATGGGCTCCCCCCTTTCTTTCCCCCTTCACCCCTCCTTTTCTTCCCTTTTTCTTTCCTCCTCTTTTTTGGCGGCAAATGAAAACCCTCCTTTTCATGCCGCTTTGAAGAGGGAAAAAGATGCCGAGGCACCTGAAAACAGCCAAGCGTGGAAAGATGAAAAACCCCTTCGACGTAATTAGATGATTAAATACCTTTTAAGCCCAGGACCTAACAGATTGGTTATCTGGAGTTGCTCTTTTTACGTGCCAGGCTTTTATTCTCTACCTACGGCCTTCCCTCCTCCATCCCTCCGCCACCCAGCTCCATTCCTCCCTACACAAAGCCCAAATCCCTTTCAAGGCTCTGAATGAGATACTGTTCATCTCACATAGCAAAAGAAACACAGGAGACTTAATCCTTTCTCCCATCAATTCAAACCAGCCGAGCCGCAGTGAGCTGGGTATGCCAACAAGCCTGGCCTGAGAACTGCAGCGAAGAACCCATCTCTAACCAATGCGTTTCTCTTGCCACCCCACCGGGGCCAAATGAGACATACCACCTAATGCAGTGGTTCTCAACCTTCCTAATGCTGCGACCCCTTAATGCAGTTCCTCGTGTTGTGGTGACCCCCAACCACAACATTATTTTTGTTGTGACTTCATAACTGTACGTTTGCTAATGTTATGAATCATAATGTAAATATTTGATATGCAGGATGTATTTTCATTTATGGACCAAATTTGGCACAAATACTCAATATGCCCAAATTTGAATACTGGTGGGGTTGGGGGGGGGGATTTATTTTGTCATTTGGGAGTTGTAGTTGCTGGGATTTATAGTTCATTTAAATTCAAAGAGCATTCTGAACTCCACCAACGATGCAATTGAACCAGACTTGGCACACATAACTCTCATGACCAACAGAAAATGATGGAAGGGTTTGGTAGGCATTGACCTTGAGTTTGGGAGCTGCAGTTCACCTACATCCAGAGAGCACTGTGAACTCAAACAATGATGTATCTGGACCAAACTTGGCACAAATACTCAATATGACCAAATGTGAACACTGGTGGAGTTTGGGGAAAATAGACCTTGACATTTGGGAGTTATAGTTGCTGGAATTTATAGTTCACCTGCAATCTGAGAGCATTCTGAAGCCCACCAATGATACAATTTGGCCAAACTTCCCACACAGAACCCCCATGATCAAGAGAAAATACTGTGTGTTTTTGATGGTCTTTGGTGACCCCTTTGACACCTCCTTGTGACCCCCCCCCCCCAGGGGTCTTGACCCCCAGGTTGAGAAACACTGACCTAATGCATTTCTCTTTCAAGGTACATCCATTTGTCCATTTTGTCCAAACCTGAAGGATGGAAGTGGCCATTCAGGAAAACCAGGATACATCCAGAATACAGCTGAGGCTGCATCTTTGCAGGTGGGCTTTTTTTGCAGCCTTGTGCAAGGAGGTTTCCAAAACCTCTTTATGCAATGGTTTCCCCAGGTTTGTGGCAATGATAGAAAGGTATGTGGGAACCTCTCTAGAATCCTCTCCACCTGTTTGAATGCTTTAGTTTTGGATAATGTGAATCTACATAACCTTGGAGATCTTGGAGTCCTTGTGGACAACAAGTTAAACATGAGCCAACAATGTGATGTGGCGGCAAAAAAAGCCAATGGGATTTTGGCCTGCATCAAGAGGAGCATAGTGTCTAGATGTAAGGGAAGTAATGCTACCCATGCTCTATTCTGTTTTGGTTAGACCACACCTGGAATATTGTGTCCAATTCTGGGCACCACAATTCAAGAGAGATATTGACAAGCTGGAATGTGTCCAGAGGGCAACTAAAATGATCAAAGATCTGGAGAACAAGCCCTATGTGGAGCAGTTTAAGGAGCTGGGCATGTTTAGCCTGAAGAAGAGAAGGCTGAGAGGAGATATGATAGCCGTGTATAAATATGTGAGAAGAAGCCACAGGGAGGAGGGAGCAAGCTTGTTTTCTGCTTCCTTGGAGACTAGGACGCAATGGAGCCATGGCTTCAAACTACAAGAGAGGAGATTCCATCTGAACATGAGGAAGAACTTCCTGACTGTGAGAGCCGTTCAGCAGTGGAACTCTCTGCCCCGGAGTGTGGTGGAGGCTCCTTCTTTGGAAGCTTTTAAACAGAAGCTGGATGGCCATCTGTCAGGGGTGATTTGAATGCACTATTCCTCCTTCTTGGCAGGGGGTTGGACTGGATGGCCCATGAGGTCTCTTCCAACTCTTTGATTCTATGATTCTTTTGGAAAACCACTGGCCACAGGAAAGGTGTGACTTTGTTAGAGTTATAACTTTTTGAAAATGGCATTCATGACCATTTAGGAAAACCAGGAATCTCCTGAGAAGAGTTAAAAACTTGCTTGATTCAACCTTCTCRTTAGTAGTAAATATRCACTAGCATTCATYKAAGGCAACCCAAGTTTCTCAGTTGTTAGACTGAAATCCCAGTACACCTCCCCCCTGTATGAAGGCTTGCTTGATTCAACCTTCTCCTTAGTAGTAAATATCCACTAGCATCCATGCAAGGCAACCCAAGTTTCTCAGTTGTTAGACTGAAATCCCAGTACACCTCCCCCTTGAAGCAACAGCTCCCTTGATGGCTAGAATACCCTCATCAAAAGCTGGAATGTTAAGTAGTAACTTGTGGCAGCTGTAACGGAAAAGGTTCTGATCTTCCCTGTTACTTAGAAAAAGCCTGTTGTAAACCCCTAGTAGCAACAGTTAATGTCTATTCAACTTCTTCAACTTTTTAAAAAGTTTTGCCTTTATCTGTTTGAATGCTATCGTCTTTTACTAGCCATGGAGAACCACAATTCTTTCTACAAAGCACCATCGCTAAGTACATTTCAATCCAGCAGACGGTTTTCGAAAGCTGATTGGGAAAGGAAATTGTACGTCAAGGTGAAGCATTCCCATCACAAATCATCCGCCATATCAGCCAACCTGCTTTGATTGAATAGCATAAACATCCTTTCTTTATTGCAAAGCTGAAGTCTTTCACAATATAGAAACGTGGCCTTTTGACATTTGGACTATGTGCAATAACTAAAATTTGGGATGTTAAAAATCAGGACAATCAACAAAAACAGAGTAATCTGATCTCATGTAGAACAAAAAGTTCAGCCGTCCATCTTTAGGCACTATATAGCAGAAATAAAAATGTTGCCTTCTGTAACAACTTTGGGAAAGTCACACTCTTTCAGCCTTAGATGAAGGGAAACCTTGCTGAGAAAACCCTATGATAGGTTTGGCTTAGGGTCACCAATAGTAGAATGCAATCTCGGGACATCACAACAACAACAACAACAACAACAACAACAACAACAAATGACTCTAAACTCATATAATGTCCCTCTGAGGATGCATTGGTGTGTTCTCCTCTGCGGAATGACTGTCAACTTATCCATGGATCATATCAAAATCCATAATTTTGGCCCTCAAGCCTCTCCTTAAGTTTTTCACTTCTGGTTGCCCTACACCATTGGAGAAATTACACTGCTTAGCCGGTATTGCACCACCTGACATCCGCCGGGAAGTAGCAGCCAATAGTGAAAGGACCAAGGCAGTGACATCTCCAGCTCATCCCTTGTTTGTGTATCAGCCAGCACGTCAACGACTTAAATCTAGAAATAGTTTTCTAAGATCTACAGAGACACTCGCTGGAACACCTCAGCAAGCGAGAATCCAAAAGTGGCAGGCTCAAACCCAGAACCTCAACCAATGGCTGATACCAAATGAGAGACTCCCCCCTGGGCACACAGAGGACTGGGCGACTTGGAAGGCGCTGAACAGACTGCGCTCTGGCACCACGAGATGCAGAGCCAACCTTCAGAAATGGGGCTACAAAGTGGAATCCACGACATGTGAGTGTGGAGAAGAGCAAACCACTGACCACCTGCTGCAATGCAACCTGAGCCCTGCCACATGCACAATGGAGGACCTCCTTGCGGCAACACCAGAGGCACTCCAAGGGGCCAGATACTGGTCAAAGGACATTTAATCAACTACCAAGCTTGCAAATTTTGTGTTTTGTCTGTTTGTTTGTTTTGTTCTGTTAGAAATGTAACACAATTGACTGGTTGCCCTGACACGACAAATAACTAACTTTTTCACGAAGTCAACTTACACACAGGATTATACATTAGTTGTGGTCTTGCTCTCCTCCTGAGTATACAAATCTTGCATAATGGCACAAATATGGTGATACTAACAGGTAGTATTCAATTTTTTAAAAAAATATTTGTTCAGCATGCAATTTTTAATTGATTCCTGCAGTTTCCTTCTGAGAAGTAGTCCAGTAAATGTACCTCCACCCAGAGTCAAACATATTGCGCATGTTGCGCATATCTATCTATCTATCTATCTATCTATCTATCTATCTATATATGGGGGGGGGGGCTAATCTTGGTTATCTCTCATTTTCTGTTGCCTTATTATCCCATATTTCATGCCCTTCTCTTTTTGGAAATGTAAGCTCTTAAACACCTCTCTGAAGGTTTCTGATTTTTAATCTTCCTACCTCTGGAAGCTTGACCCGTCCTTCCAGAAAATGGCAATTCCGGGGGTCGTGAGTGCAAACATGCCGGTATTTGCACCAGTGACACCGGTATGGACTTTCCACGCAGGATAGGCACCTGAGCAAATGAAAGAATTAGAGAGGAAAGTTGACAGGTTAGATATGAAACTGTGAGAAAATTCCTAAACATTTATTTATTTATTTGCTAATGGAAGTGTACTTATGCCCTGTCCATATACATTATCCCTAACAGAATTGAGGGATTGTTTATAACAGGGATTCTTATATCAACTCACAACCCCCTTTGGACTGAGAAATCTTTACGTGACCCCGGGTATATAGGTATCTAAAATAGCTATAAAAATCTAACATTTGATTTTATACATAATACTAGCTGTCCCCTGCCACGTGTTGCTGTGGCCCAGTCTGTGTATATGTGTTTTGTGTGTGCATATGTGTGTATATGTGTATATGTGTGTTTGCGTGTGTGTGTGTGTGTGTGTGTATATATATATATATATATATATATATATATATATATATGTATGTATGTATATATAGTTTTGCACATGCATTGTAATGTAATTTTTGTGGTTTTATTGGCTTTTTAAGTCCCTTCTGCTGTGTTTTTCAGTGGTTTTATGAGTGATGGTTAGTCATTGGTCTGATCCGTGTATTGTGTCCAAATTTGGTGTCAATTCACCCATTGGTTTTTGAGTTATGTTAATGTCAGGTTTTACAATGTATTGTAATGTAATATAGCTGAGTCATGCACCGCTAATAGGCTTCTTTTGGAAATGCTGAGTCAGGCATTAACTGTATATAGAATTTCATTTGGGGAATGTGTTCTGGCCTAGTCCAGGTGATTGTGAATGATGCAATCCTGGGTTTGAGTTAAGTCAATGAGTTGGGAACCAATAGTGATTGCTATGTGTAAATGAATTGTATATAAGGAAGTCATGTACAGTGTATTTTCTCTCCTTGTGCTGTGATGCTGTTCGTCGAAGGCTCTATGTAATTGATTAAAAGAACCTGTCTGCTAAGACAAGATATAACTGTGTGCTGTGGTAAGTTTGTAATGTCATCTAGACTGGGGGAAAGACAATGGGAAAACTGACAATGGCCGGGCATGTGCTCAAGTGTCTGTAAAAGAGTTCCAGGGTGACTGCAGGCTGTGGGAGCAGTTGACTGTGCAGGAAGAAGCTACTGGAAAGCGCTGAAGTTGTGCAACTGATCTGCTGCTGAATTGTGAAATTAATCTCAACAGTTAATCACACAAATGAACATTTCATTTTTATTTATATAGATTTCTAATAATTTGGTCAATGGGACATCTGGTCCTCAAAATTTTGTTGATTTCTAGTTCTCATAATGACTCGTGACCCTGTTAGCCGAGTCAGAGATAATAGAAATTGCAGATTAGGTTGGAAACCCTTGTTGGTCTTATAGTTGGTGAAAGTGGACTTACGAATTGTGGACACTGCAGTTGTAGAATACGAAACTGGTGCTAGCAAAAGTCATGCCTGTTTCCTTGGATTTCAGCTGAAGTTGGACAATGTGATGGTCTCCTGGGAGAAAAGGAAAAGTCGGGTCAGTTCATCAGTCCTTGCAAAGTTTCCTGAATATTATCATGCATATGACACCTTGGTGAAATTTTCATTAAAAGTTCTCAAAATATGAAAAATGATTGAAAAGTACAAGAAGACTTGAAATCTCACACCACAAATTTTGATTTTTTTTTTAAAAAAATATATGAGTGAAAACACATTATTTACTTTAGGAGTCCACCAGCAAGATCTAGGTCCATTTATCCAAAAATAGGTCACAATTTGATTTTGGGGAGTGTTTCAATCGTTGTTCCATACACCTGATGAACATTTCTCAAAATAATACAGAAATTGGAACTGAAATATTCTTCTATTTTTACATTCCTTTCGGATCTACAGAGCAGTTATCTGATTTTTTTTTAAAGAAAGCTTTAATTTAATTCAACAGGGGAAACAGCATAGGTACGTGAATACATTAGAGATAATTGTATAGAAAAGTGTGTAAGTTGGGGAAGAAAGTACATAAGAGGACTAGTATCTGGGTCAAGATCATCCATCATTTTTGTAGAGTGCAACTCTACACTCATGCAGTTATGCGATTTTTGTGTTGCACCATCTTTGTGCTGAATAACAGTACAGCAACCCATTGTGTCTGCACACACACATCTGCTTCCTGTCTCCTTAACGTAATTGTGAATTTCTGACACATTAATCAATCAAATGAGACACTGAATGCACTAATAAATAGATCCATATTATCCTAGAATCCACAACTGTATGGCTGAAAGCCTCTGCATTAATCCCAACTAGAAGAATCAACTGAATCTATGGTTGATCCAATGGATGAAACGTATCTACTCAAGTGGGGACCCATAGACCTTCACCATGAACTGAAAACACCAACTGCACAGTGGCCAAAAGCATATATTCAGACCTCCTTATCCAGATTCTGATTCCACGGATGTATCCATCCATGACTAGGAAAGACTACATTAACACACTTCAGTAAAAAATCAGTAAAAATAAAGGATTCAAGGTCAACAGTCTCCAATCTGCAGTCTGCAGACCAAGAGTTTGAAGTTAAAAGTACACAATAAACTATGGAAAATTAGACAATCCATGTCTGAACTTCCCGTTGAGCTCTGCCAAAATGGTTATACCCATAGTCCTTCACCAAAATGCAAGATACTCCACTTAGGCAGAAAAAACGAAATGCAAAGATACAGAATGGGGGACAATGCCTGGCTCGAGAGTAGTACGTGTGAAAAAGATCTTGGAGTCCTCGTGGACAACAAGTTAAACATGAGCCAACAATGTGATGTGGCGGCAAAAAAAGCCAATGGGATTTTGGCCTGCATCAATAGGAGCATAGTGTCTAGATCTAGGGAAGTCATGCTACCCCTCTATTCTGCCTTTGGTTAGACCACACCTGGAATATTGTGTCCAATTCTGGGCACCACAATTCAAGAGAGATATTGACAAGCTGGAATGTGTCCAGAGGAGGGCGACTAAAATGACCAAGGGTCTGGAGAACAAGCCCTATGAGGAGCGGCTTAAGGAGCTGGGCATGTTTAGCCTGAAGAAGAGAAGGCTGAGAGGAGATATGATAGCCATGTATAAATATGTGAGAGGAAGCCACAGGGAGGAGGGAGCAAGCTTGTTTACCGCTTCCCTGGAGACTAGGACGCGGAACAATGGCTTCAAACTACAAGAGAGGAGATTCCATCTGAACATGAGGAAGAACTTCCTGACTGTGAGAGCCGTTCAGCAGTGGAACTCTCTGCCCTGAGTGTGGTGGAAGCTCCTTCTTTGGAAGCTTTTAAACAGAGGCTGGATGGCCATCTGTCAGGGGTGATTTGAATGCAATATTCCTGCTTCTTGGCAGGGGGTTGGACTGGATGGCCCATGAGGTCTCTTCCAACTTTATGACTCTATGATTCTATGACCATGAACTGAAAACACCAACTACACAATGGCCAAAAGAGTATAGTCAGTCCTCCATATCCACAGATTCTGCATCCACAGATTTATCCATCAACGGCTAGGAAATAATTTTAAAGAAATTCTGAAAAGCTAACCATAATTGTGCCATAAAGGAACACCATTTTACTATGGTGTTGTATAAAACGATAAACGAGCATCCATTGATTTTGGTCTCCATGGAAGATCTTAGAACCAAAGTTGAATGGATACCACAGGTCTGACTGTTCAGCTATGTGTGTAGGGCAGCTTACCAAGGTGAAATTGAAATGCACATATATTTGATGGTTAACACCTGGTTGGAAAACAGAGCGCACACACAAAGGTTCCAGTAGTTTTAGTAGAGTGCAAACATGAGTCAACAAAAAAACCCGAATGTAATTGTAGGCTGCATTAACAGGAGCATAGTCTAAAGATTGAACTGCAAAGACTCTGGCACAAGCCAGTCAAGGTGGTCCCAGTGGTGATCGGCACACTGGGTGCAGTGGCTCAAGACCTTGGTCTGCACTTAAACACAATAGGCACTGACAAAATTACCATCTGCCCGCAACAGAAGGCCACCCTACCCGGATGTGCATGCATTATTTGCAGATACATCACACAGTCCTAGACACTTGGGAAGTGTCTGACATGTGATCCAATACAACAGCCAGCAGAATGACCCTGTTTGTTGTGTACTAATCTTTTTGTGTTTCTAATAATAATAATAATAATAATAATAATAATAATAATAATAATAATAATTTATTTCTAACCCACACCTCTCTCCCCAAAGGGACTCAAGGCACGATAATGTGTACAGGACAATGTGTACAGATTTGCAAGCAGAAATAGTAGAGAGACCAAAGTTGGCTTACAATGCAGAAGTTATAGAAACAAAACTAATTTCTCTATCTATCCCTTAAGGCTCCCCTCTCTTTTAATTCCAGTACCCTATACTATCAGAGATATGCCCCAGTTTTATTCCCCATGTCTCCCCTTCCCAACTCAACAGCTTCGATGCTGGTTGCTGACAATAATTGCAAAGCTTTCATAAGGGAAGGTGCCCATGTTTAATGTAAATCTTTGACCCCTTTGCCCTCCTCCACCTCTATTATCTTCTTCCTCACCTGAGAGAGTCATTAATCAATCATGCTAAAGGGAAGTTGACAACAAGTCATCGCTGCCACTGTATGTAGGCAGACACATCCCAGTGTACATGTCTCCATTCAAAGGGATCCTTGTCTGCCCATCAGTCCCTGATGACTTTGACAGCTCAGTTAACTGATTCCCATTTAATGGCAGCCACCCCTTGGCTGGGGACGTGAAGGCTGAAGAGATGAGGGGAAATTGTATATGACTGTTTTCCTCTTAAGCTTCAAAGGTGGACAAGAAGAGGAGATTTTTGGCACAGGCTCAGCACACGTATGAAAGTTCTCCTCTACTTTATCAAAGTCTCCCAAGTCTGGTCAAGAGCAACTTCTCGCCTTTGTTAAGGATCATTCTTGGCCCCAGACCCATAGCAGTAAGGCTTTGAGTGCTTGGGATCTCATAGAAAAGACTCTAAATTGGAAGTCAGTAACTTCATAGGGGAGGATGGGTCATGCTTTGGTCCTGTGCACTACCAGCACTGCTAGTAGTGGAAACACCATAAGAGACATGGCATCGCTTCTGGCTGTCATGTTGTGTCATCTTGGAGACTAGGACGCAGAACAATGGCTTCAAACTACAAGAGAGGAGATTCCATCTGAACACGAGGAAGAACTTCCTGACTGTGAGAGCCGTTCAGCAGTGGAACTCTCTGCCCCGGAGTGTGGTGGAGGTTCCTTCTTTGAAAGCTTTTACACAGAGGCTGGATGGCCATCTGTCAGGGGTGATTTGAATGCAATATTTCTGCTTCTTGGCAGAATGGGGTTAGACTGGATGGCCCATGAGGTGTCTTCCAACTCTAGGATTCTATGATTCTATCTCTTCAGCAATTTGAAAGGGCTTTTGAAAGTATTCAGAACTCCTGATGTTGGGAAGCTTTGATGTGTTTGCACCCAGTTGGAGTGAAAAGTTGTCCCTAAATCAAATCTCAATTTATTTTGGAAGATCCAGGGGCTTCAGGAGTCTTCAACGAGAATGGAAAAGATGGTTGAAAATGGTTTTTGATACATGTTTTATATGTTTTTACTGGCCTTGTATGGTTTATTTTTATATTATACTAGCTGTCCCCTGTCACGCGTTGCTGTGGCCCACATGGGGTTCTGTGTGGGAGGTTTGGCCCAATTCTATCATTGGTGGTGTTCAGAATGCTCTGTGATTATGGGTAAATTATAAATCCCAGCAACTACAACTCCCAAATGTCAAGATTGTATTTTCCCCAAACTCCACCAGTGTTCACATTTGGGCATATTGAGTATTCGTGTACAGTTTGGCTCAGATCCATCATTGTTTGAGTCCACAGTGATCTCTGGATGTAGGTGAACTACAACTTCAAAACCAAAGGACACTGTCCACCAAACCCTTCCAGTATTTTCTGTTGGTGATGGGAGAACTGTGTGCCAAGTTTGGTTCAATTCCATCGTTGGTGGGGTTCAGAATGCTCTTTGATTGTAGGTGAACTATAAATCCCAGCAACTACAACTCCCAAATGACAAAATAAATTTTTTGAGTGAAGGACATACAAGGTGTCTTGTGTCCAAATTTAGTATCAATTCGTCTAGTGGTTTTTGAGTTCTGTTAATCCCATAAACGAACATTACATTTTTATTTATATAGATGGTAAATGTTTTTTTGTTTATTGTTTATTTTGTTTTATTTATTGTTTTGTTTATTTTGTTTATTGTTGTGTTATGTTTTCTATTGTATTGTGTTTTGAGGCTTCGGCCTGTGTAAGCCGCATCGAGTCCTTCGGGAGATGCTAGCGGGGTACAAATAAAGTTAATAAATAATAATAATAATAATAATAATAATAATTTTAACTACATTTTATGGTATCCGGGCAACAAAGTGTTGCCAACTGTAAACCACCTTGAGTTGGGCTGACTCAATATTTGTATTTACCAAACAAATGGGGCAAATAAATAAATAATGATTGTCAAAAAAAATGTCTGGACTCATTTTTGGGAAATGAACCATTTTGGTAGTTTGAAAAATAAAGCAAGGTTGTTGTTTTCATACTGAAAAAAATATTTCTGCATCAGAAGCAGAAAATATGTATTTCCTGCACAGAAAATCCATTTTTCTGTGCAAAACACCCATATGCGAATTTTGTGCAGAATGAATCCTGAAGAGCGAATTGGTCTTGAAAATTGTGACTTTCAAAGAATTTCTCACAGCAGTAAGAAGACTTCTCAAATTACTCATTACTGCCTGAAAGAATAAAATTAACGAATAGTTACCCATATTTGTCTAACTGTAGCCATAAAGAAAACATGAAAGGTTAAAAAAAGAATAAAATTAATGAAGAATTACATCTGTAGTCTCGAAAGAAGTTTTGGGGCCTGTAAAACTATGCTCACGGGCTTCATGAAGACCATAAATTGCTTAGCTTCCAAGATCAAACAGGATCTGGTGTCTACATGATATTTAGACCTTAAGGGTAAAGGTAAAGGTTTTCCTCTGACATGAAGTCCAGTCGTGTCTGACTCTGGGTGTTGGTGTTCATCTCCATTTCTAAGCCAAAGAGCTGGCATTGCCGTAGACACCTCCAAGGTCATATGGCCAGCGCTCAGGGAGCACACAACCCCCCTGCTGCATCAGCTCCACTGGCTGCCAGTCTGCTACCGGGCCCAATTCAAAGTGCTGGCTCTAGCCTATAAAGCCCTAAACGGTTGCGGCCCAGCCTACCTATCCGAATGCATCTCTTTCTACGAACCCTCCAGCAAGTTAAGATCATCTGAGGAGGCCCTGCTCTTGATCCCGTCTGCTTTGCAAGCACGCTTTGCGGGGACGAGGGACAGGGCCTTCTCTGTGGTGGCCCCTCGGCTGTGGAACCCATGGCCTAGGGATATTAGATCAGCCTCCTCCCTCCTGACTTTTCGGAAGTGAAAACCTGGCTCTTCGAGCAAGCATTCAGAACCCCGGAATAGATAGTAAAGCTTGAGATGGAGAATGACCCAGGAACAGCCAAGACGATGAAACAGATGGGGATTGGAATGAGAGGATATAGCTCTTTTTAAATTGTTATTGCACTGTCTCTTTTGTTTAAATGCACTTAATTGTCTTTGCTTTTGAATGTATGTATTGATGGCATCAAATTGTGCCGATATGTAGACCGCCCTGAGTCGCCTGCGGGCTGATATGGGCGGGATATAAATGATGTAAATAAATAAATAAATGACTGCATGGAAAGCAGTAGATCTTAGACCTTAGACCTTAGAACTACTTATAAGGCATCAGCAAACCCTTTGTCCATGCACAGTGCTGGTACTCACCATTCTCTGTGATGATCTTTGGCACCTCCTTGGCCGCCGGTGACTGGCACTTAATCTGGTTCCCCATCACCACGCCATCCATTTCCGACAAGTCCCCAAAAGTGCAGTTGACCCCATCCGACAACTCAGGCACATTGTACGTCTCCAAAACCAACTGGAGGAGGAAAGAGAAGAAGTAGAAGCAGAGAGAGAGGGTGATGAAAGGAGTTTGATAGACAGGGGAGAATTAAACTGGAGGAGTTGTACAAAATGCCTCTTGTTGGACAGAGACTTCCTTCGACAGAAAGCAGCAACAGGGGGCCGAGGGGCAGGGATGCGGATGCAAACCCGAAGTGGCGCGTGGGGGTGCGGGGGGCTCCCGCTGTTGCTGCACCGTGCTGGGGAGGGTTGACCTGGAGCGGAGGGCAAGGTGTGGTGGTGTGCTCTGCATTACTCATGCACAGTGGGCAATCTTTGGAAGACAAGGTGGAGACTCAAGGCTCGCCAGCACAAGTACATTTCTGAGGAAGGCGACTAGTTACTCACAAGAGGCACTCTGTGGACTACAGAGAAACTGTAACGCTCCAGTCTAACTCTCTACGCCTCCTCTCCTAGTAATCCCAGCAGAGGGAGCTCTTTGTCACCAACAAGGCCCTGCATATAGAGGAGTCTAGTTATGGACGTGGGTCAGTATAGACACGTTCACACTCACACAGAAGAATGAAGATAAATTTAACAGCAAAGATTTTGCTCCTTCCAACAGCAATTGGTTCACGGCATGTTTTCCATAAGTGGAACAGGTCCCACAAGTCTTTGGTATTACAAGCGTAGGTTGTAGACACTAATTACAATTTCCCAACCAATCTGTGATATGCTACATCTATGCTTGGCACAAGCACTGCTTGAAAAATGTATAAGAGGCTCAGAGTGTTTCTGTATGAACACTTTATCCCAGGGATGATCCAGAGTATCAAACTCTGGGTTAGTCCCAAAATGGTTCTTACCACCAGCCCCCAGGCTGCTGTGGAGGTGGAAAGGAGTCCTAGAGCAGTGGTTCTCAACCTTCCTAATGCTGCGACCCCTTAATACAGTTCCTCATGTTGTGGTGACCCCCAACCATAACCCTAACATTATGAATCGCCATGTAAATAATGATCTGCAGGATGTATTTTCATTCACTGGAGCAAATTTGGCACAAATACCCGGTATGCCCAAATTTGAATACTGGTGGGGTTGGCAGGGGGATTGATTTTGTCATTTGGGAGTTGTAGTTGCTGGGATTTATAGTTAACATATAAACAAAGAGCATTCTGAACCCCACCAACAATGGAATTGAACCAAAGTTGGCACAGAGAACTCCCATGATCAACAGAAAATACTGGAAGGGTTTGGTGGGCATTGACCTTGAGTTTGGGAGTTGTAGTTCGCCTACATCCAGAGAGCACTGTGGGCTCAAACAATGATGGATCTGGACCAAACTTGGCACGAATACTCAATATGCCCAAATGTGAACACTGATGGGGTTTGGGGAAAATAGACTTTGACATTTGGGAGTTGTAGATACTGGGATTTATAGTTCACCTACAATCAAAGAGCATTCTGAACCCCACCAATGATAGAATTGGGCCAAACTTCACACACAGAACCCCCATGACCAACAGAAAATACAGTATTTTCTGATGGTCTTTGGCGACCCCTCTGACACCCCTTCATGACCCCCTCAGGGGTCCTGACCCCCAGGTTGAGAAACACTGTCCTAGAGAGACCTAGGTGCTCCAATACAACTTTACTGGAAATGACTGTAGAATAGCACTGGGGAACCTAGAGATTCTGTATTCTTAATCAAACATTAATAAAATATTATTGATCATAAAAAGGTAAAGGTTTCCCCTTATAGAATCATAGAATCAAAGAGTTGGAAGAGACCTCATGGGCCATCCAGTCCAACCCTATTCTGCCAAGAAGCAGGAATATTGCATTCAAATCACCCCTGACAGATGGCTATCCAGCCTCTGTTTAAAAGCTTCCAAAGAAGGAGCCTCCACCACACTCCGTGGCAGAGAGTTCCACTGCTGAACGGCTCTCACAATCAGGAAGTTCTTCCTCATGTTCAAATGGAATCTCCTTTCTTGTAGTTTGAAGCCATTGTTCCTTGTCCTAATCTCCAGGGAAGCAGTAAACAAGCTTGCTCCCTCCTCCCTGTGACTTCACCTCACATATTTGTACATGGCTATCATATCTCCTCTCAGCCTTCTCTTCTTCAGGCTAAACATGCCCAGCTCCTTAAGTCACTCCTCATAGTGCTTGTTCTCCAGACCCTAGATCATTTTAGTTGCCCTCCTCTTGACACATTAAGTTTAGTCGTATCCAACTCTAGGGTGTGGTGCTCATCTCCATTTCTAAGCCATGTTGTCCATAGACACTTCCAAGGTCATGTGGCCAGCATGACTGCATGGAGCACCATTACCTTCCCACCGGAGCAATACCTATTGATCTACTCACACTTGCATGTTTTTGAACTGCAAGTTTTGGGCTATTCTCAGCCCCCTTCTTATTTTGGGTGTAGGAGGTGGGGGTTGAAGTTCAAAACACCTGGAGGGCCCAAGTTCACCAATGCCTAGTGTAGATCTATCTGTGGCTTCCTTGGTATTGTTGGGACCATACCACACAGCAGATTAAACCACTGAGCTGCTGAACTTGCTTACTGAAAAGTTGCAGGTTCAAATCTGGGAAGTGGGGTGAGCTCCCACTGTTAGCCTCAGCTTCTGCCAACCTAGCAGTTCAAAAACAAGCAAAATGTGAGTAGATCAATAGATACCGTTTCTGTGGGAAGGTGATGGCGCTCCATGCAGTCATGCTGGCCACATGACTTCGGAGGTATCTACAGACAACTGGACAGCTGTTACTGTTTGCACATGATGTTGATGAGGACTCTATGACCTATTTTCCTGGTGGCAAACTGTATACCCACAAAAGCTCTCTGTGTTGTTATTCTGTGCCTTCAGGTTGTGCCTGAGTTATGACCACCTTAACCAGTCATGGAATTTTCTGAGCCTTGCCTGGGATTACTGGTAAGTTTCCATGGCTGAGTAGGTATTCGAATCCTGATCTTTAAAGTCATAGTCAAACACTCAAACCACTCTGCCACCATGGGTCTCTATGAGCACATCTACACTGCATAGTTGAGACACTTAGACACCACTTAACTGCCATGGCTGAATGAGCTGAAATCCTGGAATTTGTAATTCAGGGAAGCACTCTGGGGCCAGGGTTTAGCACAGCTTGTAAATCACCAGCAATGGTAAGATCTACTAACCAAAAGGTTGCCAGTTTGAAGCCCCAGGCTAGCGTGAGCTGCTGACTGTCAAACCCAGCTTACTGTTAACCTAAGCAGTTCAAAAATAGTTTATGCTGTAATTAGAGAAATTAGATATTGCTAAAACAAGTGGCAGAGGTATTTTACGACATGCTAAAGAAAAAAGATCAGATAATTCCGAGTGACCACCTGGAAGGAAGAAGGAAGTTCTGATGACTATTCATTAGAGAGGATGGAGTGATAGCACCCCTCTGAGGCTGGATTTCAAGCAAAAACCTTCCAAGGAGCCAAAAAGCTGGATGTTGACAGTGACACAACATACCTCCTGTTCTGTCTGTCTCTGTATTGTTTATCCAAAACAGCATTGAATGTTTGCTATGTATACATACTGTGATCCACCCTGAGTCCCCTTGGGAAGATAGGGCAGAATATAAATAAAGTGTTGTTGTTGTTGCTGTTGTTGTTATTATTATTATTATTATTATTATTATTATTGACAGACTATGCTAAAGACTGTAAAACTTGAACTCTGAGGATTCCACCGCATTGCAGTTAAAGTGGTATCAAACTGCATTAATTCTATGGTGTAACCCTACAGCTTTCTGTAGGAGACCTGTCTTTGCCAAAGAAAAGCCCAAGGAATTAGAGTGCCACCATACAGCCCACCACTCACCCATGGGTTTGACAAGTGGTCATGTATCCCTAAGTCTGAACAAGATTGGGTTGTTTGATAGCCATTCAGAAAATTGGCCAGTTGTATCTTAAGTGAATGATATACATCCATAACAAGTTGGATGTTTTGGTTAAGGTTGTAGATGACAGAGGCTTACTGGTAGACAAAGGGAGAGGCAGAAAGAGGTGGTGCGTGGCAGAGGAAGGAGTCTAGGGATCACAAAAGAATAAAGCTGCAACCCTTACCATCACACTGTACTGGGAGACTGAGATGTTGTTGGGGTGCACAGTGAGGCGGACACATTGCTTCATCTCTGAGGCAAACCTCCGGGGTTCAGTGGACCGTTCGCACTGCTCCTTCCTTGTACACCTGGAAGAAGGAATAAGATGGGTAAAACCAGAAACATAACATCAGGTTTCAAATGTCAATGCTGGGAGCAATTAAACAGAGAGTGATTAGTTTTTCCCATTCAACCTCAGCCATAGCAGAGCACCTGATGAACCAACCTGGGCACAGCATATTCTTTGAGAACACAGAAATGCTGGACCACTCTCACAACCACCATGTCAGACTACACAGAGATGCCACTGAAATCCACAAGCATGTGGACAATTTCAACAGAAAGGGGAAAACCATGAAAATGAACAAAATCTGGCTACCAGTATTAAAAAAAACTCTAAAATTACAACAGCAAAACAACAGAGAGGAAACAAACAAGGACATCTAATCACCTCTCAACAAAAGTTTGCTCTAGGCACTGTCAGGCCATTATATGCTAATCAAGGTGGTCAGTTGAAACATTCACACCTAGCTCCAGCAGACAAGAGTCCTTTGTCTCACCCTGGTCATTCCACAGATATATAAACCCTAGTTCCAACAGACCTCACTACCGCCGAGGATGCTTGCCATAGATGCAGGCAAAATGTCAGGAGAAAATGCCTCTAGACCATGGCCATATAGCCCGAAAAAACCTACAACAACCCATTCAACCTTTGTTTGTTCAAAACTAAAAAAGGAGATTAAAAGTGGGTTACTGTGAGTTTTCCAGGCTATATGGTCATGTTACATAAGCATTCTCTCCTGACGTTTCACCCACATCTATGTTCAAAGTTCAAGTTTGGAGACATCTGACATAAGTGAAGGATGTATCTACACTGTAGAATTCATACAGCTTGATAGCACTTTAATTGCTATGGCTCAGTGCTATGGGATCATGGGAGTTGTAGTTTTATAAAGTCTTTAACTTCTCCTACTAAATAGCATTAGTGCCTCACTAAACTGCAACTCTAATGATTTCATAGTCACAAGTGGTGTCAAACTGTATTAATTCTACAGTGTAGATGCACCCTTCACCTCTTATGTCAGATATCTCCACCCTGGAACCTTTCTGGTCTACTGGACTACAAACTCCATCTCCCAGATTGCAAGGCCACATTCATTGGGAATGGTACTATTGTAGTCTATCATGTCCAGAGAGTTCATTGGCTTGTGAGGCCAAAAGGGAGAGGTTTTTAAGAAAAGCTTCATGTTTGAGAAAACCTGCCAGTGAAGCTGAGGAGCAACCATCAAGCATGCATCTGAAGGCTTTCTGGTTGATGGTACCTGACACAAATTTAGACATCATTCTCATTGGATAGCTGACATTTCCTGAAGAAGGAGGCAATGATGGCTTTCATCTCACGACGCACATGCTTAGTGGGTCATGGGGTTAATATAAAAGGACAACTCCATCAGTTAGCTAATTATAATCCATTATGCTAATGTAAGACATATCCAAAGGGTGACTTCACTTGAGTCTCCAAATACTAGATGCAGCATTGCCCCCCATCAACATCCACTCTGAAGCTGTAGTATTATGATTCACCCTCTTCCAAACTTTGAAGTTTTGTTTCTGAAGTTCTGGGAGCATCTGGCCTGAATTGCAGGAGGAATGCCAAATGTAGCCAGCCGGGTACATAACACAGACGCAAAGCCAGGAAGTCAGTGAGATAATAGGCAGTGGGGACATTGACAGAAAATGGTTGATTTGCTCAAGCTCATATGCATCAGAAAGAGTCGCATAAGAGCAGAATAAGTCCCAAACTGTGAAGATTCCCCTGAGTTCAGGAATCTTCCCATGGGGGTTTCTCAGCTCTCAAAAATGGCCTTTTGAAAAAATACTCTTGAATGTTTTTCCATACCTACTTAAATATATGAGTGAAAGATTATACATTTGTCCCTCTGAGAACAGTGCATAAAGATTATTGGAATGCTTGTTACCATCATCATCATCATCATCATCATCATCATCATCATCATCATTAGAAATATAACAAGATGAGTCCACAGCAAACAAGATCACTCTGCTGGCTGTTGTATTGGATCACACGTCAGACACTTCCCAAGTGTCTAGGACTGTGTGATGTATCGGTGAATAATGCATGCAGATCCCAGTAAGGTGGCCTTTTGCAGCTGGCAGATGGTCATTTTGTCAGTGCTGATTGTGTTTAAGTGCATGCCAAGGTCTTTAGGCACTGCACCCAGTGTGCCAATCACCACTGGGACCACCTTGACTGGTTTGTGCCAGAGTCTTTGCTCTTTGATGTTTAAATCCTCATATTGTGTCAGCTTTTCCAGTTGTTTCTCTTCAATCCTGCTGTTGCCTGGGATTGCAACATCGACAACCCATTCTTCGTTTTTTTAACATGATTATGAGGTCAGGAGTCTTGTGCTCCAAAACTCTGCCAGTCTGAATTCGGAAGTTCCAGCACAAGTTCCAATGAATCATCTGAGCAARGGTGTTATGCCTCTGCTTGTAATCTGTCTGCACAATCTTCTTGCAGCAGCTGAGGATGTGATCTATTGTTTCATCTGCTTCCTTGCAGAGTCGAKATTTGGGATCTGTCATCGAATTTTCAATTCTGGCTTTGATGGCATTTGTTCTAATGGCTTGTTCTTGGGCTGCAAGAATCAGGGCCACCTTTGTCTCCTTTTTCAGAGTTCCATTTGTGAGCCACATCCATGTTTATTATTATTATTATTATTATTATTATTATTATTATTATTATTATTATTTGAAACACAAGATGAAATTATTATTATTATTATCATCATCATCATCATCATCATCATCATTATTAGGAGTAGTAGTGGTGGTGGTATTTATATCCTGCTTCTCCCCCCTTTCCAAAGAACTGAAAGAGGCTAATACCAAAAATCATACAATATGTAGATTGAAACCCAAAGCATACAAACATTAAAACTCAAGTAAACACAGGACTTCCTAAAAAATGCATTGTTAAAACCTATAAAACCAGCCTCAAAAAGAGTCCTATTTGTGATGCCAGCAGTTATCTAGGGCGATGGGGTTCAAAGATGGGATTGCATGGATTATGTCTTCACCAGGAACCTGAGGGCATCTAGAAAGTCCCTACATTTAATGTCATAGCAGTGGGATAAGTAGAAGGCCTCACATCTTCCTCCTGTCTTTCTATAACAGTGGTTCTCAACCTGGGGTCCCCAGATGTTTTTGGCCTACAATTCCCAGAAATCCTAACAGCTGGTAAACTGGCTGGGATTTCTGGGAGTTGTAGGCCAACAACATCTGGGGACCCAAGGTTGAGAAGCACTGTTCTATAATGTACCCTTGGTGGAAGAGAGAGGTGGGACTCTCCAGTAGACCTCAGTCTTCAGACTGAGGTTGGATAAGATCACAAAGGCCATTCGATCCAAGAAAGAGAAGTACTCCTGACAGATGCTCATCCAACATCTGGAACTTCCACAGAAGGAGGTTCCACCATGCTTTCAAGAGTAGAATATAGTGTATTCTATTTTTTGAAACATCTCTTACTACTTGGGAATTCTTTCTAATGCTTAGGTAGATTCTTTTTTCTTGTACTTCATGTTCTAGTCTCTAGAGCAGTAAAAAACTAACTTGTTCTACCTTCCACAAGACATCTTTTCAAATATTTAAACTATCATGTCACATCTCAATCTTCTCTTCTCTAGGGGTGGATCCAGACAGGCCTTTATCCCAGGAGAATCCGGGTTTTAAAAACACGGATTTTCCTGGTGGGCTGTCCACACCCATCCTAGAAAGAGCACGCTTTCTGGGGTGGGTGTCCAGACGTTCTCTCAGGACTAGCCCGGGTGAATGTCTGGAGGCCCTACCCTCCTCCACCCAAGTCCCCAGACCCCTTAGAAAAGTAATGAAAACTTACCCGGCTTCCATTAAAGGCCTCGGCCAGCTCTCGCAGCACATAGAAATGATGCGCCAGGAGAGGGGAATGATTTTCCTCCCTCCTTCCCCCCTCGCTTTCCTACCGCATCATTTCTATGTGCCAGGAGAGCTGGCCAAAGCCTGTAATGGAGACCGGGTAAGTTTTCATTACTTTTCGAAGGAGTCTGGGGGCTTGGGGGAGGGGGTGGGTATTTCCAAAGTTCACTGAGCTTATTTAGTATTCTGCAGTCCAGAATTGGAAATAGTAGGTTCTTGGAAGGCATGGAATAAACTCACTATCTAATTAATTCACTACAAACCAAGGTTTTCCTGGTTTGTGGCAAATTAATTTGGGACTGTCCAGAACATTGTCTGGACAGCCTCACCTGTATTGTGGTAGATAATGCAATAAAGGTAATGTTTGGTGGGCCCTTGGTTGAACATACCAATGTCTCTAAGGCATTCCTCGTAAAGATTCATGATTTCCATCCCTTTGACCACTTTGGTCAATTCTAGACATGCTCTAGTTTCTTAATCTGTAAGTGGCCACAGCATTCTTCAGACACTTGATGGTCCAAATGTGGACACCCCGTTTTGGGCCAATTTAGGCCCAGAGATCAGAGCTTCCCTTCTATATAGTACAATACTTCGTTTTAATGTTTTTCAGTGTCTAAAAGACATCACCTCAGAAAGCATGACGAATAAGGCTGTGGAGTGGACGCTGCCAATATCCACTACAGAAATACAATTCACAGGAGAGAATTGAGTTAAAAAGCTGGGCAACCGATGGGGAGAAAGAGGAAGCATGTGAGCTGAATAGATTAAAAACAAGCCAGGGAAATGACTTTTCTAATAAGATCCTCTGGAAGCCGCAAGAGACACACAGACGCATCTTGCCTCCTGTCTGCTCTGTTTTCCCTTCTGCTCTGTGCATCACCTCATCCCTTACTGATAATCTCTCTCATTGGCAGTGGCTTTCCAATCTAATCCAGTATCCCTCCTGTTCAAGCTGCGGCGGCCAAGGCAGCCAGTCTGGGGTAGCAACCATCTCTCTGGACAATATTGGGATGGCAGTGGAGAAGAGGTCAGTTTCATAATAAAGTTGGCAACAAGAAACATTGCACCCTCTAAATAGGGACATTTATTTAGTAGGTACAAAACCCCAAAGGGA